AATGTGGTTAATCTCCATAAGCCTTCTACATTGCGCGATGACTTTTCTGTTGGGATGCGTGGCCTCCGAGGCCTTGGCCAACAGCTTTGAGAGAATCTGTTTCCACAATGGTTTGGGTGATGCTTCTCTTCTGCAAATATATGTTTGACAAAATGTAACTGTACAATATTTTGTGTAAGTAATTTTTTACATTGTTATTGTTACACTGTAAACGCATATATAGGATGAACTTTGGTTATAGTGTTCGCATATAAAAAAAAACAGTATAATCACTTTTAAAATGACAGACATAAACCTAATGGAGTCATGAATTCAAATCTTGTAATTGCTTAGATTGAATGATAAGGATGAAATAATGTTTCAGACTTGCACTGTTAAATTGCTTCCAGACCGAAGAAGAAGAAGACAACAAATGATACTGTTGCAAAATTTAAAATTCAAATTAATTGATTTATCCTCAAAATAAATGAAAAAATTAAATCTTCCATTAAATTAGGAGATTTTTAATACATAAATATAATTTGAAAAAAACAAAAGTTTTAAAAAATAATCGCATGATTTAAGGAAGGACACAAATGTAAAAAGAAAATCCAAAAATTTTAAATTATGTATACATTTAAGATCTAAAATTAAAGATTTTCTTTCTTTATATTTTTTTCTGTGTAACTTTTTACAATTAAACTCAATTTATTCCACCCCTCCCAATTTACCCTTTTCTTTGTTACACGATAACGAGACTTGCGCCAACTATTCTTTCGTAAAACAAACACTCTTTACTCAAGTATAAATCTAAATTTAATATTAGTTTGTTTTTTGTTTATTTACCTTCATTCCTCTGCCATGTATTTGTTTTTCTTCTAAACATCAAAAGAGAAAAAAAGAGATAAGGTTGTTAACATATGACACGATTTACTAATATGACACAAAATTAGAGATTTTAGATTTTCTTTAAGCTACTTATTTCATAAACGAGTGGAACGACTTGCTACGATCAATAAATTAATTGGGTAGGAGTGACTTCAATCAAAAGAAATACACATCACAACTCATTTATATATAAATATACATGATTCATACACAACACAAACTTGATATAATATGATAAATTAGACAATAATTAATAAATAAATTAGATATAGATAAAATATTTTTTAACACGAACCGCTAAAATTCCACACGAATTTTTCTCACCCGATTGACTGGCCCAGTAAAGGGTCTTCGATATTTTATCCCTCGGACTTTGTGGCAGGCCTATCTTGTTGGTACACCTTAATTGAGACCAAATAGTTGGGCTTAGTAAGCTAAACATCACGATCCATGGCCCAATATATCGGGCCATCACATGATCCGATGAGCAGTCTTGCTTTCTTATTAGGGTAATTTGGAATAGGGGTGTTCAATCGACAAATAAGATCGAAAGTGTCAACTTCCGCTGGCCAATCTGTAAGTAGTTGGAAGTGGGAATGATAAACCAAACAGAGCCAAAAACCAACTCCATGTGTCGGTCGGTTTCGGTTCGGTCATCGGGTGGAATAAGCCCACACTTTTAAATTAGACTTAGAAAGAGAGAGTGAGAGAGAGATTTGAATTCGAGGTTTTTCAACATATACGAAAATTATGAATCAAATATGAACAAAAATAAGAAAAAATTCATATTCAACAAATTAACACATGCCCAAATTAGATCAAAAAAATTAAGATTAAAAAACTTAAAACATTTAATAATTAGATCTAAAAAGGGATTCAGATTCATCTATTTAAAACATGCACAAATTAGAAAAAGAAATCAGATTCAAAAGAAGAGAGCACATACGATAGAGTTCAGATTTGAACGATATGGTTCAGATTTGAACGATATGGTTCAGATTTAGACCTTGGACAGTAAGAGCTTGTGGTCGACTAATTTGTATCAGAAGAAGATGTAGTATTCATATTTTTGTTTTTGTATTTTTTTAAAGGGTAAAATAATATTTTATATTTTTATATTATTATTCGGTTCGGTTCGGGTATGTCGGGTTGTGACCTTTACCTACCTGTCATCCGAATAGAATCAGTCAGGTAAAACTTTACTTTATCCGAAATCCGAACCACATTTATTTTTAACCGCCCATTTCGATCGGTTCGGTTAGGTAAATGTCGGTTAATCTGGTAAAGGGTTATTATGCACACCCCTAATTTGGAAATCGGCACAAAAAATTAGACTTATTTGAACTAAAGTACATCAAGGAAACTTATTTGTCTTTAATTGCATTTTTTTGAAAAAAAAATACTAAAAGTTTATTTATTGCTCCACATTACTCTCTCTCTCTCACTATTTTCCCTATTTTCTCTCTATCTATCTCTCTCTTTTTCTTGTATTGATAGTTTAGTTTTTTCAACTATGTAAAGATTTGATTTAATTTTTTTTATTTCTCTCTCCCCTAATTTTTCTCTCTCTCTCACTCCCTCTCCCCTTATTTCTTTATTCTCTCTCTTCTTATATCAACTTTATAACAACACAATTACACTAATCAGTTAGACCAATTAGATACAATTATCCTATAATACACCAAACAGTTACTCATGTGTTCTAATATGCCAAACAGTTACTCATGTGTTCTAATATGCCAAACAGTTACTCATGTGTTCTAATAAACTAAACAATTATATTAAACAATTACATGAAATTAAAACATCAACCAAATTTGTCATTTAGTTGTTTACATAAATCAAAGAATTACACCGTTGAGTATCACAACATGGTTACTCCAATTATATACATCAAGTTGAGTTTATCATTACACAAAAGACTTTACCCTTATACTAAATTTGGTATATATAATTGATGTAATGACATCACGATACTAAATAATGCAACTATTTAGTTTATGTAAATAATTGAATGATAAATTGAGATGATGTCATAATTTTGTGTGATTGTTTGATGTACTGTTTGATTTATTAGAACACATGAGTAATTGTTTGGTGTATTATAAGACAGTTGTAACTAATTAGTATAATTGAGTTGTTGTAATGTTGATATAAAGAGAGAGAGAGAAAAAAAAAATAGGGAGAGGGGGAAATGGTGAGAGAAATTAGGGGGAGATAGAGATGAAAACAATAAATCAAATCTTTACATATTTGTAAAAAAATTAAATTATCAATGGTAGTTAGAGAGAGAAAATAAAGGGAGAAAAAGATAGAGGGAATAAAAATTATGCATAATTTAAAGATGGGTAAGTAAGTAAAAAATTTTAAATGTCATTTAAATTTTGTACGTAATCACACGAAATTTTATTAAAATTAAACTTAATATAGTAACATATTTATTCATACACTTTCTCACGCTTGATGATAAGGTAATACTAATAGTATTTTTTTTTCCATATAGGGTAACATGACTTGTGCAGACTATTCTCTTGTAAAACAAACACTTTTTACTTAAGTGTCAATCTAAATCAATCTTAGATTAATTGGTATTCTATAATTAGGGTTGATAATTGAACTGAGCTATTCGGACTCGACTTGTTTTGGCTCGGTTCATTTGCTAAATGATTCGAGTTTGAACAATTTTTTAAAAAATGTGCCGAACTGATAATCGAGCCAAGTTTAGAAAAATGAGCATTAAAACGCTTAGTTTGAACTTGTAAAACTCAGTTCATTTATATATAAAATAGTCAAACTATTTACGTTTGACTCGTTTGAAAAACGAGCTGAAAATAAGCCGAACTTGAATCATTTTTTAAACTTATTTAGAAAAACAAGCTCGACAAACTTGAATTGAACTTCCAAAATTCGGCTCATTATCAATCATATCTGCAATTTATATTTCCTCGTCTCTCTTGCATGTTAAATCATGGACTGGCAAGAGTAAATGCAACTTATTTCTCATTTCATGGTTTTCATTTGTGGGTTGTGGGGATTTTTATTCCTTTGTTCTTTATATTTTGACACAATTGAAGAACAAATTTTACTCATCTCTGCTATAAACCCATTGTAACTTGCAATGAAATTCAACAAATATTAACACGACATTTTAAAGAACAAGAGGAATCGAATATTCCAAACATATTATGAGTATTAAAAAAAAAATAACAATTCTTATGGCAATGTGGTATAACAACATAGAAGTGGAATATCCTTTTAATTTTCTCTAGGGGGATTGTCTACGATGATAATTTTATAAAATTTAAATTAGGAGTGGTTATTGTGATTCAAGATAAGCTTAATCTTCCCTCCAACGTCTAACAAATGAGAGAGGCGAAAAAGTTTGTACTCGTGATTTTAAAATTAAACAATGGAGAGGATCATCACAAAACTAGTCATCATTACCTTAGAGAGATGCTACATGTTCAAAAAATGTAAATGATATTTTTGAACAGTGAATATTTTCTGTTTTCAAACAATCAATCGCGAAGAAATTTTTTTTTTTAAATAATTCTAAAATTGATAATTGAGTTGAATTATTCGAACTCGACTTGATTAGGATTCGACTCGAGTTCGATTTGTGTTTTAAATGAGTAAAATTTGAATAATTTTTAAAATTTTATAAAAAAGCAAGTCTAAAAAAATTTGATTCGATTTCACAAAATTCAATTTATTTATATATGACATAATTAAACTATTTAGAATTAGACCCTAGTTCTGTTCGTTTTAGGTTTGACTGGTTTGACTCGAATTTGACGAATCACACTTAAATAATTTTTTAAATTTATTTTAAAAAATAAATTCAATAAAATCAATTCAAAATCATAAAATTCGATTCGGTTATACAAAGCCGCGATTTTCTCCTTCTCCGGGAAGATAAATGGCAAACACGGTCCCACGTGGAAAACCAACCGCCATTACAGCCACGTCACCACAATTAATCACCACCAATCATATTCCTCTCTTAAAACATTCCCTCCATTCCCATTGGTCGCTTCTCTCCACGTCATCATCCTTTCAACCTCCGCCACCAATTTAAAAATAAAAAAAAATTACAGTGTACGAATTTTCCATTGAAGCATTGCCTGATTTTCTCTCCTTCAATTCCTTCGACCCCAAAAATTATTGTCCCGATGGGTTTAGGTTTGAGATCGCAAAGTGTCGTAGCAATTTGTTTAGTTCTGCTCGCCGTTCGATCGTCACCGTCGGCGTCTTTGATCGTCTCCCCAGACCTCAATCCTCCCTACCCCAAAGCCATCTCTGTAAGTCTATTTTGTTCAATGTGATCTTCGACATTTGAATCGATTTTGGATTGATTTGGACTGTTGTTGTGGTTTTATAAGTGGTGCAATTCGGTAACTGTTCTGTTTTGTTATACAAATTTCATCTTTTTCGGAGGAGGCTGCTGAGCTGAGGTTTCTAACTTTTCTTTTTTTTTGTTGGGTTGCAGGATTTGAAGGAAGCGATTGTGAAAGGATTAGGGTTTCAATCAGATGATGTGAAGATATTTGGGTTTGATTTGAGGGATGCGTTGGTGGGTCGATCCATGGCTTACGAATTTGATGTTGAAGTTGATAATAGAGTTCTTCCATTCAAGCTTTTGGAGGATGTGAATAGATGGGAGTTTGTGGATTTACCGATTTTTCAGGTGGAGGATCCGAAGAGGTCTGGTGTGGGGAATGGGTTGATTGGGAGGCAGAAATTGGATGATGGTTTGCCCGTTTTGGCTCCGTTCCAGTTAGCTGGTCCGATGGAGCTTTGGATTCAGGATGCCAAGGACATGAGGCTGTCCTTGCCTGTAAGTTCATGGTGTGCAATTTTTTTTAATGCTAATTGTCTTTAGAAACTGTTTGTTTGCATTGTTGTTTCTTCAGTTTTTTTTGGGCTATTTGTTTCTTACTTTGTTATATGGCTGAATTTGAGATTGTCTTGCATGGTTGGATGCCTTAAATGTTCTGTTGTTGTGATAGTTGAAAGTTGTGGTATCGGTCATCAACTCGGACGCACCGAAACACATCGGTCACAACGTGGTATCAGGTGATAAAACCTATAAGAATATATAGATCATGACGAGAAATTCAAGTCATATCGCAATGTCATAGAACACATTTGATTTAGTATATGATAACTCATGACTCAGGATTGACTTGAATACAACTTAGGCCGAGTTATGTGAGACTCGAGATTTATATATATCGTGGAACAGTATCATCTTAGAAAGTGCCAAGACAGATACTACTCAGATATCGGCCGATACTTTGAGCTAGATTTTTTTTCTTTGATAAGAATGAAACAGTTGAATAGGTATTAATGAGGTACATAAGAGAAAAGAGAGGAGGAGGACAAGTCATGTAACCCCAAATCAAGTTAAAAAAACAGAGAAAACAATGGTAATGGCAGTAACAAAATCAGTAGAAAGGGTATGAACAAACAGTACTAAGAGTGCTTAGAGCAACATGTAATGTCTCACTATACATCAAAAGCAGCTTTTCAACGCCCCATAAAAAATGGAATGCCTTCAAATCTTCTGAAACCGTAGCTCAAACGATGCCAAAAAATACATCCGCTCCAATAATCCATCCACCAGTTTATAAGCATCTGGTTGGGTTCCTACTTGAAAAGGTTCTTACCAGGGTTAGCAGCCTTTTCAGCCCCTCTTATGGAATTTCTAAAAACAAAATGTGGAAAACTAATGGGTTTTAGTATGATTGAAATGCTTCCTGTTTATCGTTGCCTTTAATTTGATAAATTTGTTGGAGAGGCTTGGTTCAGTTTAACTAATGCTGCAATTATGAATGCATTCTCAGTCTTTTTGGTATTTAAATTGAAGAAAACAGCAGTCATATTCGAGATTATGATGCTTAGAAAGGGAAATTGCTAATTTTTGACATGAAAAAGATGGAATTTGTTCATGTCAAATGTTCTTGATTTCCTAAACGGTATTCATTAAACCTGTTCCTTGTTATAAGAATGCGAGCATGTCAACTCTATAGAAAATCTTATTGATTAGCTCTGTTGGGTTCCCATAATGAACATGTGCGGTCTCTAGTTTGACCCGGACATTCAAACTGGGCTTTGGGCTTGTAGTATTCAGAGGTTTTGATCTATATATTTGATCACCCAATTGTGTCCATTGTACTACTAGTGGATTTTGGATTTCTATGAGATCATAGATGAATTTTATTTCCCCAAATAATTTGGAAATAACTTCTCGAAGATGATGTCTAATTACATATTAGCTGAAAGTTGGAAACTGGAACCCATTTCCAAATTGTGGTTTCTAAATACTCTTTTAGGGTGCTGCTTGTCTCATCTCATTTAGTTTGCTAGTGAATTCACAGTTAATTTCCTACTAAACAATAATGCATCTAGGATGCATCACATTGCAGGCATGGCTATGTCTGGTTTTTTGATAAACTTGACAAACTGTATTTTCAAATTTTCTTGCAGCCCTAGAATATCATTGTGAAAGTAATTTTTTTCTTCTCAATTCTGATAGCTGGATTTATGGTTCACGTCTTCTTTCAGAATTAATGATTGACTTTTTTGTTAAAAATATGCAGCATGATGTAGATGCTGGTGTCCTGAAGAAAGTAATCTTAGCAGATGGTGCTGTGGTTACTGTCAAGGGTGCCAGATCAGTTAGCTTGCGCCATCCAATTGAGCTTCCACTTCCTTTGAACCAGTCCCAGAATGGTTTTGCCTCAGGTCTTCTTACTCTGGCAGATCGTCTACGCCATGCTTACCGTGCCAAGGAGGCACCGCTTCTCTCCCTCTGTATAGTTGGTCCTACATCTCTCACTTCCCCTACTTCATCATCGCCCTCTTCCAATAACAAGCTCAAGCTTAAGCTCCTTGCACCAGGCCTAGTGGAGCTATCTTCAGCGTCAAAAACCAAAGCTGTTGAAACCATACCCGCTGTTGATATAGAAGGAGAAGCTACTGCCCTCCTAACTCCAGATCGGTTCACTACATTGTGGCCTCTGGCATCTCTCAATGGCTCAAATTCTAACTTGTTTGGTTTTGAGGCGTTGCTCTCTTCTGTTCTGGGACCAAAGGCTAAAAAGGAGGGGTCTTTCAAGGTCTTGAAGGCAGATGTATCGGCTCAGACTTTTGTGAAGATAGGTTTCGGGGTAGAGAAGAAGTTGAAAGAAGGTGAGTTCGATTGGGAAGGTTTTCCTTTGTGGAGGACGAAACCCGAGAGTGTGAGGATGCATTTTGAGGTATTGGCTGAGGTTGAGGGAGACAGAGTTGTGCCCGAGAGGGTGATGCAGGTTAATCCTGTTATTGTGGAAGATACCGTGGCGCCAAGCGTGCTCATGGGTAACATGACTGTGTCAAATAACCCTATTGTTCTTCATCCTCCTACTCCATTCCTCTTGTGAGTTTTTTGGAGGGAATAATTTTTGCTGAAGTCGATCAGAGTGTAAAGTTTTTTTTTTTTTTCTCTTTTTTTATCTAAAAAGCTGTTAAGGAACCATATATATCAGTTGGTGAAAGAAGCTTTTAGTGTAAAAATTTGTGAAATGTGGTTATACAATGGTTTGCCTTTAGGGCTTACAGACCTATTTTCCTTATCGTTCATCTCATGATATCAACGTGCAACTGTAGGGAAAAGCTATTGTACCATTGCTAGTACCATATTAAAAATTATGGTTGTTTAAAGTTTAAGTTATAATATTTTTGAGGTATAAGTTTTTATTTATAAAATGTATGATCAATCATGAAAAGTTGGGATCGATACCGAAAGTTACAACTTTTAAGTTAAGTTATAACTTTTAAAGGTCAAGTTATATCTCATAAGACAAAAGTTACAATTGCTAAATGTTCAAAAAAAAAGTTTATAATCGATTAGGGGTATCTGTAATCATCGATAAATAACCTTCCCTTGTGCAGTTGAACTTTCTCTTTTCAGAGATGTAATTTTACTTTAAAAAGGTTATAACTTCGGGTATGGTACCCATTTTTTTTGGGTATTGTAGACTTTCCACAAATGTAACAATAAATGGATAATATAACTATTTGGACTCGTTTGGTTGTCGTATTAAAAATAAATGGATTAGATAAAATAATACAGTCCAATACAATACAGATAGATTAAAGACAAGATTAAATATGATATTAGAATAATACATAATTTTATCTAATGTTTGACAATACACAATATAAACGTTGGATAGTAATTATTTAATCCAATCAATTGTTTAGTTAAAAAATTATTTTATTGTATTAATGTTGAATTAACAAAAATACCCTTAATCAGTGTTTGTTACATTGATGACAACTTAAATTTATCATTTGAGGGGTTATAATAGTAAATGTTTAGAATAATACGTTTGAGGTGGATTATAATACCACCTTTTTGGTGGTATTAAAAAACCTCTATAATATATGTCTATTATATTAAAAATATACAATAAGTATATATTTTTGAAATTAATACGATATCAAATTTGCTTACCAAACAAAATATTAGACTCGATTAAATAAAAATAGTACAATCTAATATTTAATCCCCTCTTAATACATCTACCAAACAAGCCTTTTAATTTTAGGATAGGTTATTTCTCTATTGTATTTTATTAAGGATCATATTTTTTTGTCAACAGTGACGAATTTTTTTTTAACTATCGTTTGAAGTTATTTTATGCTTACTTTTATTACATTACTACATCTTCTAGGTACATGTCTAAAACATCAATGTCAGTTTTTTCTAAATTTATTTTTAATTGCTGTTACTTCTACGATTTCACCTTCGTACTTATTTCTATTCCATTTTTTTTTTTGCAACACTTAATTTTTTTATCACATTTTTTTTTTAATGATTTGGTAGGCATATATATAGGATTGATAATTGAATTGAATTTTTCAAACTCGTTTACAATATAAACGAGCCGAAATTTTGTGGGCCTAAATCGATTTAAAAAATGAGTCGAATTTAAACCGAGTATTATACAAATCAAATCCGAGCTGAATTCGAATAATTTGACTCAACTATTAGACGTAACCCTCCCTATCTACTTTTTTGGAAGAAAAATCAGAAAGCTTGTACTTTGATGCCAGCATTATACGAAAAGTCTATTTCATGTTTAGATTCATAGCAACTTCCAGTTAGGCCATTTCTTTTGGAACTCAGCTAAAGATTAGTTTACTCAAGAGTCTTTGCATCACTCTTCTTCCTTGAAACTTTCCACTCATATACTTGCAAAGAATTTCATTATTCAAAAAATCTTTAATCATAGTTAAGTTAGTCTCATCACTATGATACATACAATATCATTTTAATTTAGTTTTTACAATTGTGTCAGCAAGATAAGTTGAAGCAGTAGTAGTAGGGGTGACTTATTTGTAAACTTTTTTTTTATCACTCTAAAAAATATCAAACTCTATCTTACGTAAAATTGTGAAAGTACGATTAATCTTTGAGTTTGAAATCACGGTTTATATATCGGGTATTAACCATAATTATCACAACAACATTTTTCAGTCTAAGTAAGAAGGGAACGTTTTTACCCCCAAATGTGTACCAAATTATCTGTCATCGTCAGATCTATTGGTTTTATCACTTATTTTTTTTTTTTGATCAAAGTTTCATCACTTATTCACTTACCACTTTTACAAAAAGAAAGCATCAATTTTTTAAAGAATAGAAATTAAAATACGTATTTGTACTACAAATAAAAGATAGTTAAGTGAAAAACTTTTGATTAACTATTATATTCCTCTCAAAAAGATAAAATACACCTAGATTCTTATGTATTTAATTATTTATTATTAATTAAATATGTAAATGACCCTTCATATACTTCCATTTCCACATCAATATTAAAGCCTTGCAATTTAATTTCCTTTTTTGTTGGGTATCTTACGAGTAAAATATTCTATTTTTTCAAAAAGACGGAAGAGAGAATATAATAATGAATTGCCTTGTCTTGATATTAGTTATGAATAATAAGCAAAAGATAATGACCATTATCCATTGACTTCGCCATTGATATTTTCTAATTTTAACACAGATCCTCATAAGAAATTTGGATTTGTAATTTCACTAATGTGTGATTTTTACAATCTCAAAATAGAGTTCACGTGCAACAGCTAATAATTCATAAAAAGATTAATCGAATAATCAGATCTTACCAACCTTTTCTGACATCTCCATAAATTTATCACAAAAACTACTTAGTATTTGTGGGATGACAGTTAGAAAGTCCCTTTTCTAATATTATATCCACTCATGAAGATTTTCAAATTATATCGACTTTTGTCCCAAATTTCTCAAAAAATTTAAATATCATTCCTTGTAGGTTAAGCTTCTGGACTCATCTCTTCCTCCAAGTTAGAGTGAAGGGGAAAAACAAAAACATTACACTAACTAAATTTTATAACCACATTTAGGGGTGACAAAAGAGTGGGTTGGATTAGTTATGGGTTGGTTAAATTGGATTGAGCTAATATAAATCAAATTTATTTTTCACTTACCTAGTAAATGTGTTGAGTTTATAACGGGTTGGGTTAAACCGATTAATCCATAAAATAATTAAAATTCTTATAGACACATTAGTACACCAAAACACACACACATATTAGTAGTACACCAAAATACAAACATACACAAATACACTAATGCACCAAAATACACACAAACTAATACATTAAAAATATACACACTAATACACAAAAAATTCACACGTATACTAACACAAAAAATAAAACATATTTAATAAAAAAAAATACACACATAATGGGTTGGGATCAATTGTGAGCTATGGGTTAGTTTGTGGGTCGTGGGCCGACCTATGAGTTATGGGTCAACCCTTGGGGTCACAAGCCAACCCATGGATCGTGGGTCACAGACCAACCCATGGGTCGACCCATGGGGTATTTTGTGTATATTATTGTACTAGTGTGTATATGTTTTGATATATTAGTGAATGTGTGTGTGTTTTTTTTGTATATTAGTATATTTATTTAATTTTATTACTGATATTATTTAATCAAAAGATAAATGCTCAACCCAATAGGTACCCATTTGTAATCTATATTAACCCACTTAATTAAAATGAATTATGTTACCCAACTCATTTAAAACCCATATTAATTAATATAGATACTCAACCCATTTAAAACTCATATTAATTAATATAGATACCCAACTCATTTATTTGTGGACAGATTGAGCGGATTAATGGGTAATGGGTAATGAGTGAAGATTATCATCTCTAACCATATTTAATGATCCAAATGATATACCACACTTGCACAATTACTAGATATTTGTTAATTTGTTTGGCATTTCACTTACAAATTCGATTCCAAACATTTATTCAAATTAGTAAAGCTTAAAATATTTTTTATAAAGTGACTTGCTTTATGTTTAATAAATTTTTGAGTGCATTAGAGTCATTGAAAGTGAAATCATGAACATATGATTAAAGAGTCAATTATTGCAATGTGTGCCATCTTTTTGTCCGAGGAGAGGACTAAGGTATTGAAAAATATATCATTTTTTGTCCAAGGATAAGACAAAGGTATTGAAAAAAAAAAGGGTATCGTACTGTCAAATTTTACGAGTCTTATCAATGGAGATATAAATTTTTGGGTTTATTTATCATACAAAAATTATAATTTTTTGAGTTCAAGTTATTATTTATAACCTTTTGAAGTCCTTTCAACGTTGATCCTAAAAAACCATAAAAATTATAGATAATGATATAGTAGTATCTACCGTGTGCCGTCCAAAGGTATGTTGAAAATGGAGTGAAATTTTCTCTAGTATACTCTTTTTAATATTTTTTTTTGGTACATTATTTATTTTTAATGAGTGAGAAATTTTACTTGTATATAATGATACGTTAAAAAGACCGAGAGAAAGAAAGTGTATCGAAAAGGATTAAAATACGCTAAAAAATGGATCATAGAATCATTTGACGGGAGAGAAGTGTGGAAAGGAGAAAAGTTGAAAAGAAATTGATCCACAGCTACACCTTTACAGTCAGTTTTGCTCAACGTGGGTGGTTGAGAAAGTTAAAAGTCAACTTGGACGGCCATAAGCTTCCAATTTGCGTTGCAAATTCTTCGGTGCACCACACTCCTTTCCACGTCAATATTAAAGCCTTGCAATTTAATTTCTTTTTTTGTTGAGTATGTTACGAGTAAAATATTCTATTTTTTCAAAAAGACTGAAGAGAGAATATAATTGATGGGATTTTTCTGAAAAATCCTATGATGAAGACACGTGTCCTCGGTTTACTAAAATCCTGTTGCTAGGATCAAGCACATCGGCGCATGAATGTCCTCGCCCCCGAGGTACTGTCGTATAGGATCATACATTCAGTATGTTTTACAACCGACACGTGTTCTCGGTCAGATATGTACCTCAGTCGGCAACCTCCCTCGGTCCCCGAGATGAACCTTTCCTCGGTGCCGAGAGATACCCTCCTGGACACTCCCTCTCTACTCCAGGATAAGCTATTGATGTGCGGGTCATTAGCCTAGGCTAGCCTAGGATATTCATCATGACCTCGTCTTACACAAGTAATNGCTATTGACGTGCAGGTCATTAGCCTAGGCTATTCATCATGACCTCGTCTTACACAAGT